ACTACATAGCCAACGCCCTAGTTTTCGGGGCGACTTCTGCTGTGTATTGCTTTAACCGTGTAGCCCGCAGCCTGTGGTTTTTGATGACCAAAGTCTTGAAAATTCCGTGCGGGTTTTTCTATGATGACTATCCTCTTTTCTGCCTGGAAGCCGAGGATGCTACTTGAGTAGCTGTGGTCCTGTAGCTCTGGGTTGGACGGTGAGCGATGAACTGATCATCCGTGCTCACCGGTGTCCGCGTGAACAGCCCGCAGATTTACCCCCGATCTTCGCTGTGGAGGAAAAAGAGACCGGTGAATGAATATTGGAATGATAGCTCATATTGACGATTGAATGACACTAATGGAGTTGGATGCTATAATAGTTTGAGCTGGGCAATACTTCTCCTATACAATTTATGAGTTGAAGATAATTTTCTGCTTGCAGACTTTTCTTTCAACCAAATAAATTGTACAGCCCTAATGAGGTTAGGGCGTAGGAGAAGTGACTGAGTTTCTGAAGCATCCTTGTATTCCATGTCTGTTTATTTGGGCTGTTCGAATCTTTTAACAAAAGTGCTCATCGTTTTTGGGAAGAATTTCATGATTGAAACCTTCTTGATCCCAAGAGTGATGCGCTTGCTGTGGTTCAAGTCTTGCTGAGCACTTGAAAATTTTTGATCCCACCCCACCCACCCGGGGTTTGCTCGGGACTTGAAGGGCGCAGGATGCTACTTGAGTAGCTGTGGTCCTGTAGCTCTGGGGTGGGCGGTGAGCGATGAACTGATCATCCGTGCTCTCCGGTGTCCGCGTGAACAGCCCGCAGATTTACCCCCGATCTTCGCTGTGGAGGAAAAAGAGACCGGTGAATGAATATTGGAATGATAGCTCATATTGACGATTGAATGACACTAATGGAGTTGGATGCTATAATAGTTTGAGCTGGGCAATACTTCTCCTATACAATTTATGAGTTGAAGGGATACTTTCAATTTTGAAGCATAGGGTGAAGAAGATTGCAGTGTCAATTCATGTTGACGATGAGCTAGTCGCAGGTGCGAGAGGAGAAGGAAAATGGCTCATATGCGAGCTAGAGAAATTCTTCAAGCTCGCCGTGGAAGGACCGTTCCCATCCCATCGGGGATCGGGAGAACAACTTCATTACTTGAAGAGGACCTACGAGTTCCTAGAAGAAGGAATTCTGGTGACAGTGTCAAAGAAGCATTACGAAAAGCTCAGAGGACTTTACGAGCTGGGAAGCAGAAAGCCAAGACAAACCCCAGAGCACCAGTTGATTGGAACAGTGGATGATTCCAAAGAGCTAGAGGAAAGCGAGTGCAAAAGATTTCGTTCAGCTTTGGGAACGCTGTTGTACATTTCTCAAGACAGATGGGATTTACAGCGTGTGACAAAATGTTTGGCGAGCAAGATGTCGAAGCCGACTGAACAAGCTTTAGCCTGCTTGAAACAAGCATTGCTCTATGTACAAGGGACAGAGCAACTGGGATTCATGCTGAGGTACACCAACGTCGGAAACAAAATGATGGATGCGCTCTATCAGACTCTATCAAAAGGAAGAGCAGGAGGATGCTCTAGAGGAAAGGAATGTACCACACAGTATGGAGGTATTCACGGATGCAGATTGGGCGTCAGACCGCGAAGCAAGATGGTCTACATCTTCAGTGATCGTCTGTGTCAATTCAGTACCAGTGACCCAGAAAGCCACAGCTTTGAGCTCAGCGGAGTCCGAAGTGCTAGCATGCTCAGGGGGAGCATCGGAAGCTATGCTACTCAAGAAGTTTTCTTGCAGGAAGGATTCTAGTGGAGATCCGAATGGACTCAAGTGCAGGACGGCAATGGATGATGCGAACAGGGTTCAGCGAGGTGTGAAGAACAACAGCTTCAAAGCAAAGCCAGTACCTACCAAATTAAACATTGCTGATTTGAACACAAAGCGCTCAGGAGTTTCTAGAAGGAGATTTCTCATGTACCACATTGGAGCCATGGTGTGGAATGGAGAGACTTATGAGCGCTATGGAAAAGAAGAAGCGATGGAACATGTGGCAGGTGAAGTTTGCAGAAGTCAAGTCCGAGCTCTACGTGCAACTTTGCTGAATGAGCGAGGAAGTAAGACAGCGAGAGCGATGTAGTTGACGCTGATGGTGAATATGATCTCGCAGATTGCAGGACAGCCAGACGATTTCGGAGGAAGAGAACGAGAGGAGAGAGAGTTCATTTTCATCTACGTGAAGGAAGTGAGCGGATGGATCATCCTTTTCAGTGTGCTACTTGGAGGAATTTTCGCTTTACTTTTGTTCTACATGGTCGAGCAGAAGGTGAACAAAGGACGACAGGAACCACAGGAAGAAGGACCACAGGAACCGCAGGAAGAAGGACCACAGGAACCACAGGAAGAAGGACCACAGGAACCGCAGGAAGAAGGACCACAGGAACCAGTTCATTTATTTGACCACTACTACCAGTCCGCCCGATGAAGATGATGTTCAACGTACAGCAAGGGCAGTCAATATGTATTTCCGTGATGCACCAGAGGATTCAGCGACAGGCAGTGGTGATGGAATGCCTGGAATCAGTACAGTACCAGCAAGCCAAATCCATGTGAATGACGAAGAGCTTGCAAGGCGATTTCAAGAATGGGGAATGATTAATATCGTTCCTATGGCACAGGATGTGGACGAACAGCTACGAGCACAACCCCAGTATGTGTACACGCCTCATGGCAAGAGGTATCGCAGACTTACGTGTGCAGATGTGCAAAGGTCGAGGAGATTCACTTACAGTGCAGCAGTGCATGCGAGATTGCACTACCGTCCTTGTGGCAATTGTCAGCCCGGGACCATGTGAGTGAAAGATGTGAATAATAGTTTCACCTTTTTCCGTACAGAGTGAGCTACGACGAGTACAAGCTTACCTGAGCGAAGTGTTGCCTACGAGGAAACAGTAGGAACAGTTTTCACCAAGTGCAGGAACTCCAGAATGGAGAGCACAACGAGGCCATCACTCAATACCAGATGAGCCCAACGATCAAGTAGAACCCGCTAATGTACAGGTGATGTTGAGCTTACAGTTCGCACAACATCAAGGCGGGGTGTAAAGTTTTTCTACTACCTGGGAACCCCACCTACCAACCCAAAGGGTTGAGGAAGCATGTGTGGAATTTGTGTCTCATGTTTGACCGACAGTGCCTTTTACGGTCCAAGCAAGAGTGAGTGACTTGGAGTTTAGCAGACCCTAAATACGGTGTGTGCAGCTTTGAGCTGCGCTGTAAACCTTGCTCATGGGATCGATGCATGCCGAATCAAACCCGTCAAGAGGAAAGGAGTGCGAATGGCTGTGAGTAGCCACTGCTCTGCGAAATGCGAGGGCCAAGTGCGGACACAATCCCAACGTCACCATTGGAAAAATTGACCGTGCATTGAGCGCAGAGCACTATGCTCCTTATGTCTTTGCTGGTAACACTGTGTCCTGAGTGCAATGTTTCAAGTTCGGAAAGCGTTTTTGATTTTGTGACTCAAGCACTTCTTGGCACCGCTGTGAAGATTTGATTCAGTTTTCATCTTTGTGACAACTTAATTCTTCCGAATATTCGAATCATGGTATTTCTAGGTTATAATGGACTTATGACCTTGACAGTGCTGCCCAGCGCCCCACCACTCATCAAGATCAAACGCATCCGTGATTCTTCTGTTGTTCATTGTCAGGACCATCAACATGACCATTTGGTCATCTCTTGCCCCAGGTTGTACTGGACGGTAAGCTGATGCCAAAGCTTGATGTCGTGCTTTGATCAAATCCTTGACGGAAAGAAATCGGCACGATAGCATCAATAAGAATGGCCACGGCTTGGAGACTGCGAGAAAGTGGGGTGTCTCGACAGGCCTCTATGGGGTCTGGTCAGTCATCCGTTGCTTCTTCTTCTCTTTCAAGAAAACGAGCCATACGGTAGATCGGCACAAGCTTGCGATGGTGGAATATCCAACTTCTCAAATACTGCAGAGTCCAGAGAAGTGGCACGGACACTGATTCATGCAAGACATGCAGGACGACCAACTTTTTGAATTTTGGAAAGGTGACTTTGTGGGATTTTTCAAGTCCCTACCCCACACCCGCGTCCAAGAATCTTGTGCACTACTGCTGGAGAGGAGACACTGCGCATTGATTTTGCCACAGCTCAAAAATTTTTCCGAGTGTAGGGGAAAGAGTGCTTTCAAAACTATCCACCTTTGCGATCTTCCTGAATTTTGTACGTATAGCTTCCGAGTCCAAGCCGACACAAGGAGCCACCGTTGGCAATCAGCTCAGTCTTTCACTTTGTTCCATGATTGTAGCAGCAGAGGAGTAGGAGAGCTTTCTATGTTTTCTCCAATCCCAGCGACATCTCTTCTTCCTCAATAGATGCGGTTTCACCATCGTTGAACAAGTGTCGGCAGATTCGCAACCTTCTCGTAAATGTACGGACCACAACTTCGAAAGACATCCCGTTGAACTGAGCCTGTGGGAGACTTTCATTTTCTGGGCTTTGGTATCTGTGTCCCGTTGCGGATTATCAGCTACATGCAGCCTACGGAATTTGGCAGCTCAGAGAGCCAGTAGAGAGCGAGAGAGAGAGAGAGAGAGAGAGAGAGAGAGACAGACAGAGACAGACAGAGAGAGAGAGAGAGAGAGAACATCAGCTTTTTATGTTGTACTGAATTTGCCAACATGCATCCTCACCCATATTGCCTTGTGACCGGGCTCATATATCTGCTGTTGTTGCGTTATCTTCATTGTTCGGTAAACGTGAGCGGCAGCTGTCTGGTGATGTTTTACCAGTCAAGAACAGGTCAGTGTACGGACCTTTTAAATCATGCATTTTCAGCTTTGAAGATTGTTGCAAATAGCTTCTCTGCGGCGCTGATGTCTGATGTCGTTTTCTGTGGGAATCCCGGTGCGGGCAAAAGCACCCTGCTCTCCTGCATTAGTGGCGTCCAATTCAAGTCCGGTCAAACTGCGTGGGGAGGAATGTCGCAGAGATTGGAGTTCAAGGTTAGCGACGAATTTCCAAGTTGTCGATTTGCCGACACTCCGGGGCTGGCAGATCCTGAACTTGCCGAAGTGGCTGCAGCAGCCATTACAGAAGCACTTCGAGATGCGTCGGTGAAAGGGCGTGACGTGAAACTTTTCTTCGTCGTGCCAAGCGAGGCAGGCCGCATCACTGCCGAGCATCTCTTCACCATCCGAAAGGTAGTGCAGTCCATAACCCTGCCGGATGATTCACAGCCGGGTGTCAACTCGTACGGTGTTATCGTGAACAAGTGCGACAGCATCTCGCAAGAGCATCAGGAGCAGGTCAACAAAGGCTTCGCGTTGAAAAGCCATCGTGTGCCCGTGCCAACCGGTTACACAATATTCCTCAGGCGCGTGGAAGAATTGAGCGGTAAGGACAATGCCCGGTACGAGTTCCCGGGGCTCAAGGAGTTTGTGCTCGACTTTCCGGGCTTTGGCGTCAAGAAAGCTGCGGAGATCAATGTTGAGGACCTGGACACACAGCTGGAGCAGTTCCAAAGATCCGCAGCTGAAGAATTCAAAAAACTTACTAAGATGCATGGGGAAGAGCGGGAACGATTTGAGCTGCAGGCCGTGGAAAGTGCCAAGGCTCTTAAAGAAGATCTTGAAAAGAAGTTGAATGAGCAACGCCTACTGTTTGAGAAGAAGACGCAAGAGCTTCATGCCGAGATCCAGAGACGATCGGACTGGGATTGTGAAAGCCGTGTTTCGTCTCAAGCTAGACATGTTTTTGTGTTGCGGCAAAGGATGGTGTTTACGCAACAGGTTATCCAAACATGATTCTAGCCACCACGCCAAGAGCCCACCGCATGCAGTCTGGCAGGATGAAAACGCTGATTTGCTTGCGAAAATGCAGGAGCAAGCTAGGTTGCAGGTGCGAATCTGCATGGCAAATTAGTGAGGACTGCATGTGGAAAATCGCAGGCTGAGGCAGAAGCAAGCTTTTTGAAGCAGCTTGAAAAGATGGACAAGCAGGCGCAGCCATAGTCCTATTCTGACGGCAAAAGCGCATGGAACAAGATCTTCAAGAAGTGTAATGTTATGCAACCTGATGCGGAGAGTCTTGAAGAGCGTGAGACGCCTCACTTTGCACAGGCAGAGGAACAAAGCAGACGGCAGGAGGTCTCGGCGCAGCTAAACACAAGCTGATATCACGCGGCATGAGCAACCTGCTCCAACGTTGTGAAGTGATTTTGCCAGCAAGAAGTTCTGCATGGTATGTCAGGCACGATTGATCACGGTGAGTCTGCAGGCGGAACGGGCGCACCTGCGCAAACTCTTGGAGGAACAGAAACAGAAGGAGGCATGGCTGCGAGGTCCCTTCATGTAGTTCTCCCTGGGTAAGCTGAAGGCCGAAGAGCAAGAAAAGGCCAGAAGGGAGCATGCAGATCTACGAAAACTACTGGAGGAGCAGGCGCGGCACTTTGCACCCAACAGATGAACAAAGTTTGTAGACCGATGAATTGCAGATCTCTGTGAGGAGAAGAGGGCAGAGAAGGCAGGGTCGCTTGATAACTAAATGGTCTTGCGAAACGTGTCCCTGCAGATTGAGCAACAGCTGCTGAAGTATGGACAGCTCTCATGCAAGGTCAGCACATGTTGAATCTGACGCTGTCAACTTTCACAGTTGCAGGAAAGTCAAGCCAGAGCAAAGGCAAGATCGTCAGCACACGTGGTGAGCCGACTTGAGTGAGCCCCTGTGCGTGTCTGTAATTCACTTATTCAAGCGAAATGGGGTCAGCGAGTTTTTTTTTCACCGCACGCTTTTTGTTCAGCACGCCTTTTTGTAACTCACGCGGCTGCCTGAGCAAACAAAGAAGACTCGGGGCGCCCCCAAGAAGCAGAAAGTTCAATTCGCCGTCTTCAAGCTTTTCGTGTTGACCAATGGTGTGCCCTACATTTCGAGGCCGAGAAGGGGGGGTTGAGCAGGAATGTTTTGAGCTTGAACACTGGAGCATGTGTCGGGAGCTGTCGGGTTACACCGCCACTCCAGAGTGGCAGTTGCCGTTCTCGTACTTGTTTTGTTGCTGTGGCGCCTCCTCGATGTCCCTTCCCACTTTTGCCAAAGTTTGTCGGATTTGTCCAACTTTGCAGGCCCGTAGGGCTGCTCAAGATTCGTGCAACTGCTTTTGCATACTGAGGAATCTTCCGCCTCAAGTGACAGGTTTATCTGATGCATTCCCCGCAGCCACGATTCCCAACTCTTAGGCCAGGCCAGCCACTCAAGCGCCATACATGGCACGCACACGTACGTGGGTCTTGGAGAATGGTGTGTTGCGCCTTGCATCTCATCTCATCTCATCTTGTCTTGGGGGCTCAGGGGCTTGTCCTGCAATGGGGTGGAGTTGCAGAGCTGAGGGCCCGGACCGGACCGCGTTGGCACCTGCGGCGAGAGGGACACAGACAGGCCCGGGATGTAGGCCTCTTGGCAGACCCGCTTATAGCGCTTGCCGCAGTGACGACATTGTGGCATCCCCGCCACCAAGCGCTGAAGCCGAGCGTCTCCGTTTGCTTGAGTTATCGGCTGGGCCAGCTTGTGTTCCACTTCCTCCGCCGCCTTTCGCCTCAAGAGTACGACCAACTCCTACAAAGCACGCCAGAGCTGTGTTGCGGCGCCTGCCCACCGCGGCAGACGCCCCGGCCCACCTGCCTGCGCCGTGAGCTCCCGCCCCGTTGTCGCCGCTGCTTGGCATCGCTGCTTCGTGGCCACCCCGTCTCGGCTGACTCCCTGAGCTCCCAGTCCTACACCGCCTCCTGAGATCGCGCAGTGAGCGCCGCCTGTTTTCGGGTTCTCCGGGGCTGGTGGGCGTGTTTGGGCCGGGCTCTGGGCTTGGGTTCCGGGGTTCGGGTCTGGGGTCGGGGGCTGTTGTTTCAAGGGGTCCGCCGCTGGATGGCTCGCGGATCACCGGATCACGACTCTGTGAGGATCACACGTCATTCTTTCGGGGTGCTACACGACGGCACTTCACTTCTGCAGTGTGGAGCACAGGGTTTTCTCCCAAACGTGGTTTTCCCTGTGCCCCCATATTCTTAATTGGTGCTTTTGGGAGCACATGCCTCCTACACCTTTTCCGGAACATGATCGCTTGGCACGCCAATTTTTTTGGAGCTGTTGGCAACCTTTCTTGTCTCTTGTTTGCAGTCCTGCGCTACAGTGTTGTCGTTACATGCAGTTGCACACGCCACTTCGCTGCTCCAGTAGTCTATGTCAACATAGACGTTAGCATATATCAGTATGTCTGTACTTCAACAGAGACACACAGACCTGACCGTGGTTGACTTTGTGTCATTTGTTATTGTCGTAAGCGAAGAACATCTCCGACTTGTTTTGCATGAAAACTCTCCTGCTGTTAACAAACTTTCCATGGACCTATGGCCCAAGGATTGGGGGGCCCTATGTTTTGGGATGAAGGGGGGTGAGCCCCGAAAGGAAACCGTAAACCCCGAAACCCTAAGAGGAAACCCGAAACCCTAAAAGGTAAGAAAAGCGTCAACCCTAAGAGGAAACCCTGAACCCCTAAACCCCAAAAGGTAAGGGAAACCCAAAACCCTAAAAGGAAATCCTAAACCCCAAACCCACAAGAACAGAACCCTAAACCCAAAAAGGAAAGCGAAAGCCTAAACCCTGAAAGGAAACCCTGAACCCTAAACCCAAAAGCGAAACCCCGAACCCTGAAGGGAAAAAACCTTTAACCCTGAAAGGAAAGGTGTGAGGGAAAGCCTAAACCTCAAAAGAAAACCCTCAACCGTAAAAGGTAGCAGAAACCCTAAAGGGAAACCCTGAACCCTAAGACCCTAAAAAGCAAACCCGGAAACCCTAAACCCTAAAAGGTGAGGGACAGCCTAAACCCTAAAAGGAAACCTGGAGGCTTGAAAGGAAAACCGAAACCCCAAAAGGTAAGGGAAACCCTAAACCCCAAAAGGAAACCCGAAACCCTAAACCCACAAAAAACAAAGCCCTAAACCCTAAAAGGAAAAACCCTAAACCCTCAAAGGTGAGAGAAAGCCTAAACCTTGAAGGAAAACCGGCAACCGTAAAAGGTAAGAGAAACCCTCAAGGAGACCCAAAACCCTAAAAGGAAACTCGAAACCCTAAAAGGAAACCCTTTACGGGGCAACCACAAAGGGGAAGGACAATGATAACCCTGACGCCTAAGGATCGCAAGTCAAATCCCTGAATCCCTTGAAAACCACGGGTCAGGTTAGGGGGGTCCAAACAGAGGGTAACCGGCCTAAGCCTAACCACCCCAAGGGGAACCCTCCAAACCCAAACCCAAGCCTGAGGGCCTACACGTTTTTGCTGCGAACTTTTCGGCAGCCATAACCTTGAGCCACAATACAACAGTCCATTGACGTTGCAACTATTCCAGAACTTTTTGTACCCTTTGTACATGTAATTGTAAACGCTTGCGCGCGCCGCCTCGGCAGCCGGGCCGGCCCCAGGCAGGAAAGGAGGAAAGAGGGTTTCAAGGGCGGGGTTAGGGGGGGGGTGGGGGGGGTGGGGAGGGGGTGGGGGGGGCTCTGGGTGGGGGTGGGGGGGGGTGGGGGGGGGGGGGGTGGGGGGGGGGCAGGGGGTGGGGGGGTGGGGTGGGTTGGGGGGGGGTGCAGGGGGGTGGGGTGGGGGGGGTGGGGGGGTGGGGGGGGGGGGGTGGGGGGGGGGGGGGGGGGGGGGGGTGGGGGTTGGGCGGGGGTGTGGGGGTTGTGGGGGGGGGGTGGGGGGGTTTTGAGGCACTCCCCCTGTAGGAGCCACCGAGAGGCGGGACCCTCCACGGCATCGGTTTGCAGCTCCTCCAAGCGATTGGGGGGGGTCCCACAGGGTGGGGGGGGGGGGGGTCGCGTCAAAAAATTTTGCATGGGGGGAAGGGTTGGGTTAGGGGGAAGGAGGCCCGATCCGGGTCTGCTTGTTCCAGACGCTTCTCGGCAGGAAGCCGAGGCGAATTCACTCTCTTTCACAGATATTGCGTCCAAGCTCCACAAATCCAAACTGTACATTTCAGAATCATCTCCACCATTCTCAGAAACTATTCGTATACCACTCTTTTTTCCAGAAATGCATCACCCACTTTTGCCAAAATAGTAGTCAGCCTCACCAACCACAATTAAGGCACCAAACTTCCTATCATCTTTCAGTTCTTGATGCTTCAGCATGCCTCGCGGTCTTCAGACGATGTAAGTGGGAAAAGGTACTCTCCAAATCCTCCACTGTCAAGAGACTATCCGGCAATAACTGCTGAAATGCATCGATAACACTTTTCTTCTTGAAAACGTCCAAACATCAGCTGCGTCTACGCCTTCCGCAGACCCACGTGCAGATGGTGTTGATGCCGTCCGAGGCACCTTTTCAGGATTGGTCTTTTCACCTTCAGTCATCACTGAGGGTCGCTTCTTTGGCAGTGGAAAAAGGAACCGTTGAGAAGTAACTTCGACCGGGGTTTTTCTTTTCTTTTTGTCACGCTTGCGGACTTCAGGTGCAGACTTGGTCTCCGAGGTCTCAAGGACTTCTTCAACCTCTTTTGAGTTGCCATCAGGAATCCTCTTGTCCTCCTCCGTGTCAACACCAACAGCCTTCGCGTTGTCCCCTTCAGTCGATGGGACCTTCGCCGTCTTAGGCTTTCCCTTCTTACTCTTCTTTTTCGGCCTTTCTTCCTCTGCTTCAACCTCCTCAACAATGCCAACTGAAGGGTCAAATTCTTGTGCAGACGAAGACGTGCAACCCACTTTGTCAACCTCTTTACCGAAACTTCATACTTGTCCACCAATCTGAGAAGTTCGGTCCAGGACATGAACTCTAGACCACGATCCTCAATCCAACTTTTCCATAGTGATCCTCGATCATGACTATTATCTGCCACTTCGAACAGATCAAAAACAGATTCAGCCTCGTATCTGTCCACGTTGTCACGATCACCTGACAGAATACTGACCGCCTCCATAACCAACTCTTGATATTGTACAGCAGTCGCGTCATAGCCCATCTCATCTTCAGAAGACTCTTCAGCCTTTTTCTCCTCTTCTTTTTCTCCAGCTGGTTCTTCGCGAGAAGGCCGCGGCAACGGTTTTCTTTTATCATGAGTCAGTTCATCATTTCTTCTTTGGTCTTGCTGATGGCGATACACACATCGACTTTCAGCGTGACAATATCCATGCTTCGAAAACTGATTGCACAAAATGCGAGCAGTATCGTGCGAGAACACACACGAAGCCCCATATCGACACCCCTTGTTGTTGATCCAATACTTGCACCAAGGAGGTTCGGAGTCATCATGCACGAACTTACAATCCTCAAATCTGCAATTTCCCGACGGATACCAGAAACATACCTTCCTTTTTCGCTGCTCAGCTCGTATGGGGCTCTCAACTGCAAAGAAGCGAGGCGCATGCCCTGCATGCTCATGTCCATACCTTTCAGGTGAACGACTGTCCCGCTTGTCTCGACAATTGTCTTTCCAGGGAACACGGTCTCCTTCACCACGTACGTCGGTCATTTTGTATTCAGCACTTCGCATACCATCGGTACACGCTTCTAACGAGCTTCCTTTTACAGAGACAACGACAGGACTTGCTTCAAGTTCAGGTATGCTCGGAAGTTTAATGCAGAACAACTCCTCTTCACAATTTTGGATCATTTCTACTTTACCTTTTTGTCCTGAGCCG